AGCATAACCAGAATAAATTGTGTAAGGTTTTGTAAAGATTTAGAAACTTTTTAAAGGATTTCAAGGTTGTTGAAAATAGCCCCATTCAGTCAATGGGAAAAAAGTGGCTGAAAAAGTTGAAATAGCTAAAAAGCTATAAAAAGCTGAAATACCAAAAGTCATAACAGGCGTTGCACGAAAGAGCTGAACGTTTTGATATATGAATGGTTGAAGTAGCACAAAAATTGTGGAACGAGAAAGGTGCCGAAAAACGTACGGAAGAAAAAAGGATCTCAATYGTGTGAATGCCGTTTACGCATTCACACAATTAAACCAAGATTTAGAATAATTATCATTTTGATCCATATGGTAATGTCTGACTGGGCMTCRTGTCACTTTATGTTYAACAAACTGGGCCCMGAGGTCAAAAAKGTTAAGAAGCCCTGGTCTAAACCATCTCAGTCTGGTGTCTCTAACTTTACCTCCCAGTCCTTTGACAAAGTCGTTAGAGCTCAACAAACTTTAGTTCAATAAACCAAGTCATGTCTGTGTTTACTCTTGTCGTTTAGCTGTGGAGGCCATCTTGAATCGAGTTCACTCCAAAAGTTAATCAGCTCGAACGTTTAAATTCAAAAGATTTTCTGGGAGTTTCGTTAAAATCCAAACACTGGTTCATGAGATATTTKACTAACAGGCTGACAAAAGAACACGTGCACACACAGAGTAATAAAAATCATTAAAAACTACCTCTCCGACAGCCACGAGGCGTTCTCTGTGGTCGTAGAACTGCAGCAGGACCGGATCCAGATCCTGCAGTGAAACATTCGTCCAAGCAGAAGTTCAGATTCYAAGRATGCTTTCWTTTTGTTTTAMAATTTACTAAACAGCGATCTTTACWAGGAAGTGTTCACATTTTCGGGKAAAATTGGAGAAAATAAGGAGAACGGTCTGAATTTGTGCAAACTCTTGAGGACTGCAGGAACATGACATTGAACCTAAAGTGAGTTTTTGAATATTTTTATCCAGTTTCAGTGTGTTTTTACACACCAAAAAGAGAAGAAGAAGATCTGAGCTGTCCCTCCAGGCATCTCAGATCCACTGAAACTGTTCCACACAGAGAGGSCCCCCCGATACAGAAACTCCTCACGTTTTCTCAGAATAAACTCAGTAATAATTGTGCAAACATGGCCGCTGAGCAGATTGTTTTACTACCTGAGGCTTGGCGCTGCGCTGATCGGCCCCCCCACAGGACTGCAGAGGATGGATCCCGAAACACGGAGCCACGAGATCCGGATGACTGTGAGAAAAGGAAAGGGAGGAACMACAAAGACAGAGCAGACCAGCTGAGAGCAGCGGGGAGGAGTAATGTACACATTTATGTCCTCCATGCTCTTTACAGTCAGCTGAGAGGGCACAGGGTGCGAATCCTTAAGCCTTCTTAGAATGTGTTATCATTTGAAAACATCTTATTTTATTTGACTGAGTTAACAGTAAAGTTATCTTGTCTTGTAAGGACCTTTTTTCTGTATTCTTACCTTTCCTGCAGCTGCAGAACTCTGAGAAACTCTCCAGCTTCTTCTACAACAGCCACCAGAGTCTTCACACCGGCCTAAAAACATCAGAAACGTTCTTATTGTTTATTTTAACAAGCTCAGCCAAACTTTATAATCTTCCTATTAACACTATAAAAGTAACAATGTCTTAGTAATCACTAGGGCTGCGTATTGGTAAGAATTAGGCGATACGATACATATCATAACAGAGGGGTCACGATACAATATATCCTGATAT